GGGTTCCCCCCTTTTTCCCAAAAGGCCTTTCCCTTACTGGCGGGCCCAAAGGCTTGGGTCCGGGGGTTTTTTTTAAAAGGGGGAAAATGCCCCCCCGCCTTTTTTTAAGTTTTTTTTTGGGAAGGAAAGCCCTCCCCCCGGGGCCCTTTTTTCCCCCCTCTTTTTCCCCTTCTTCCCCTCCTTTTCCTTTTTCTTTTCTCCTCCCTTTTTTTTTTTTCCCCTTTCCTTTTTTTTTTCCTCTTTTTCCTTTTCTTTTTTTTTTTTTTTAACCCGGGTTTTAAAGGGTTTAAACCCCCAGCTTTTTTTTAACTTTTGGGGTTAAGACTAATTTAGACAAAATAAAACTGTCCAAATTTTTCATTTTTAAAATTTTTTTTTTTGGGAAAAAAAATGGGAAAAGGGAAAGGGGCCCTTGGGCCCCGTTTTTTTAAAGGAGTTATTGTTAAAATTTTCCCGGGGGAAAAGTTTTTTCCTCTCGATAACCGGTATGTGTTCCCCAAGGAGTGTTTTTTGAAAGGGGGCCAATAATTGCCCCCCCTCTTGTGGAAAACTTTAAAACCCCCAAAAAGGGGGGGTTTTTTCAAATGGGCCGGTAAAACGAAAAGACCCTTTTCCCCCCATTTAACTCGCGAAAAGAAGCCCGGGGGGGCAGGGAAAAAGTTTTCCTGTTTTTTTAAAATGGATAAGGGGGGGCGGGGAACCAAAAAAAAGCATTCAAGGGTTTAGGGGAGTGCCCCGTAAGTCTGGGCCCCCCTTTAAAGGGGGTCCAAAATGGTCCCCGGGTTTTTGTTTTAATTTAAAATTTTCATTTTTTTTGGCCCAAAATTCCCAAGGAAAAAAAAATTTTTTCCCGGTGGCCAAACGTCCCTTCTCCTTCTCCCCCCCTTACCATCCCCCTCCCTCTTTCCTTTTCCCCTCTTCTTTTTTTTTTTTTTTTTTTTTTTTTTTTTCTTTTTCCCTTTTTTTCCCTTTTCCCTTTTTCCTTTTTTTTTTTTTTTATTTTTTCCCCCTTTTTCTTTTTTTTCCCCCCCTTTTCCCTTTTTTCCCCCTTTTCCCTTTTTGGGGGGTTTGTTTTTTGCCTTTAAAATTTTTTTTTCTTTTTTTTCCCTTCCCCCCCTTTTTTCGGGGTTTTTAAAAAAAAACCCCCCCCCCGGGGGCCCCCCGGGGGTTTTGGGGGGGGGGCCCCGGGGGCCCCCCCCCCCCCCCCCCCCCCCCCCCCCCCCCCCTTTGGGCCCCCCCCCCCCCTTTCCTTTTCCCTTTCCCCCCCCCCCTTTTTTTTTTTTTCCTTTTTCCCCCCCCCCCCCCATTTTTCCCCCCTTTTCCCCCCCCCCCTTTTTTGGGGGGCCCCCCCCCCCCCCCCGCCCCCCCCCCCCCCCCCCGGGGGGGGCCCCCCCCCCCCCCCCCCCCGGGGGGGGGGGGGCCCCCCCCCCCCCCCCCCCCCCTTTTTTTCGGGGGGCCCCCCGGGGCCCCCCCCCCCTTTTTTTTTTTTCCCCCCCCCCCCCCTTTTTTTTTTTTTCCCCCCCCGGGGCCAAAACCCCCAAAAAAAAAAAAAAACCCCCCCCCCCCCCCCCTTTTTTTTTTTTCCCCCCCCAAAAAAAAACCCCAAAAACCCCCCCCCCAAAAAAAAAAATTTTTTTTCCCCCCCCCCCCCCCCCCCCCCCCCCAAAAAAAAAAAAAACCCCCCCCCCCCCGCCCCCCCCCCCCCCCCCTTTTTTTTTTTTTTTTTTCCCCCCGGCCCCCAAATCCCCCCCCCCCCCGGGGGGGGCCCCCCCGAAACCCTTTTTAAAAACCCCCTTTTTAAACCAAAAAAAGGGGGGGAAAAAAAAAACCCCCCGGGGAAAAAAAAGGGGGGGGGGGGGGGCCCCCGCCCCCCGGGGGGGGGGGGGGCCCCCTTTTTTGGGGGGCCCCAAAAAAACCGGGGCCCCCCCGGGGGGCCCCCCGGGCCCCCCCCCGGCCCCCCCGGGGGGGGGGCCCCCCCGGGGGGGGGGGGAAAAAAAAAAAAAAGGGGGGGTTTTTTTCCCCGGGGGGCCCCCGGGCCGGGGCCCCCGGCCCAAAAAAGGGGGGGGCCCCCCCCGCCCCCTTTTTTTTAAAAAACCCGCCTCCCTCCCACCGGGGGGAAAAGGGCTTCCCGGCCCTTTTTCTCCTCTTTCCCTTTCCCCCCCCCTTTCTTTCCTTTTTCCCCTCCTCCTTCCCCTTTTTCCCCCTTCCCTTTTCCCCCTTCTTCCTCCCCTTTTTCCCCCCTTTTTTCTTTTTTTCCCCTTTTTCCCCTTTTTCCTCCCCTTTCCCTTTTTCCTCCCCCTTTTTTTTTTTCCTCCGTCCTTTCTTCCTTTCCCCCCCCTTTTTTCCCCCCCCCCTTCCCCTTTTTTTTTCCTCCCCCATTTCTCCCCCCTTTTCCCCTTTTCCCCTTCCTCCTTTCTTTCCCTTTCCCTTTTTTATTTCTCTTTCCTTCCCCTTCTTTTTCTTCCCCCCCTCTCCCCCCCTTCTTTTCCCCTTTTCCTTCCCCCTTTTTTTTTTTTCATTTTTCCCCTTTTTTTTCCTCCCCTCCCCCCCCTTTTCCCCCCCCCCCCTTTCCTCCCCCTTTTTTCCTTTTCCCCCCCCCCCTCTTTTTTCCCCCCCTTTTTTTTCCCCCTTTTTTTCCCCCTCCCTTTTTTCCCCTTCCCCCTTTCCCCTTTTTCCCTTTTTTCCCCCTTTTTCCTTTTTCTCCCTCCCCCCTTTTTTTCCCTCTTTCTTTTTCCCCCTTTTTCTTTTTTCTTTTTTTTTTCCTTTTTTTTCTCCCTTTTTTCCCCCTTTTTTCCCTTTTTTTCCCTTTTTTCCCCTTTCCCTTTTTTTTTCCCCTCTTTTTCCCCCCTCTTTTCCCCCCCCCCCTCCTTCCCTTTCCTTCTCTTCTTTCCCCCCCTTTCTTTTTTCTTTCCCCTCCCCTTTTTTCCCCCCTCTTTTTTTTTTTTTTTTTTTCCCCTTTTTTCCTTAATTTTGGGCCCCCTTTTTATCCTTGGTTTCATTTTTTTTTTTTCCCGGGGGGGGTTTTCCCTTTTCGCCTTTTTTCCCCCCCCTTTTTGCTTTTTTCTGAAATTTTTTTCCCGGGATTTTTTTCCCTTTTTTCTTTTCCCCTTTTCCCCTTTTTCCCCCTGGGTTTTTTTTTTTTTCCCTTTTTCCCCCCCCCCTTCCCCGAAATTTTCCGGGGGGGGGGTTTTTTTTCCCCCTGTTTCCTTTTTTTTTTTTCCCCCCCCCCCCAAACCTTTCCTCCCCCTTTTCCCCCCCCCCCCCTGGTCTGTTTTTCCCCCCCTTCTTTTCCCCTTTTCCCTTCTCCTTTTCTTTTTCCCCCTCTCCTTTTCCCCCCCTCCTTTTTTTCCCCCTTTTTCCTTTCCTTTTTCTTCCCTTTTTTCTTTTCCTTCTCTTTTCTCTCCTCTTTCTCTTCTCTCCCCTTTTTTCTTTCCCCTCTCCCCCTTCCCCCTTTTCTCTTCTCTCTTTTTCCCCTCCCTTTTTTCCCTTTTTCCCCCTTTTTCCCCCCTCTCCTTTCCCCTTTTTTTTCTTTCCTTTCTCCTTTTTTCCTTCTTTCCCCCCCCCCTTTTCCCCCTTCCCTTTTTCCCCCTCTCCCCCCCCCCCTTTTTCCTTTTTTCTCCTCTCTCTTTTTTTTTTCTCCCCTTTTTCTCCTCTTTCCCCCCTTCTCTCTTCTTTCCCCCTCTCTCTTCCTTCTCCTCTCTTTCCCCCTCTCTCTCTTTCCTTCTCTTCCCCTTTTCTCCTCTTTTTTCTCTCTTCTTCCCCCCTCCTTTTCCTTCCTTTTTCCCCTCTTTCCCCCTCTCTCTCCTTCTCTCTCTCCTCCTTTTCCTCTCTCCTCCTTTTTCTCTCTCTCCCCTCTTCCCCCCTTTTTTCCCCCCCCTTCCTCCCTTCTCCTTTTCTCTCTTCCCTTTCCCCCCCCTCTTCCTTTCCCCTCTCCTCCTTTTTTTTTTTTTTTTTTTTTTTTTCCCTTTCTTTTCTCTCTTTTCCCCCCTTCTTTTCCCCCCCCCCTTTTTTTTTTTTTTCTTTTTTTTTTTGCTTTTTTTTTTTTCTTTCTTTCCGTTTTTTTCTCTTCCTTTTTTTTTTTTTCTTTTTTCACTCCCCCTTTTTTTTTTCCCCTTTTCCCCCCTTCCCCCCCTCTTCCTTCTGGGTTTTTTCCCTCCCTATTTTTTCCCTTTCTTTCCCTTCCCCCCCCTTTCCTTCCCCCTCTCCCTTCCCCTTTTTTCCCCCCCCCTCTTCCCCTTTTTTCCCCCCCCTTTTTCCTTTTTTTTGGGCCCCTTTTTTTTTTTTCCCCCCTTTTTGGTTGCCTCCTTTTTCCTTTTTTTGTTCCCCTTTTTTTTCCCCTTTGGGGTTTTTTTCCCTTTTTTTCCCTTTTTTTTTAGCCCCCTTCTTTGGGGCCCCCTTTTTTCCCCCCCTTTTCTCTTTCCCCTTTTTTGCCCTTCCCCTCTCCCTTCTTTTTTTTTTTTGTTTTTTTCCCTTTTTCCCCTTTCCCTTTCCCTTTTTTCCCCTTTTTCCCCCTTCCCCTTTCCCCCTTTTTTTCCCCTTTCTGGCCCCCCCTTCCCCCCCCTTTTTTCCCCTTCTTTTTTTTCCTTTTTTTTTTTCCCCCTTTTCCCCTCCTTATTTGCCCCCCCCTTTTTTCCTCTTCCTTTCCTTTTCAAATTTCTCTTCCCCCTTGCCCCTTAACCCTTTTCCCCCCCCTTTTTCCCCCCCCTTCCCCTTCCTTTTTTCCCCTTTTTTTCCCCCCTTTTCCTTTCCTTTTTAAATTTTTTTTCCTTTTTTTTTCCTTTTTTTTTTTTCCCCCTTTTTTTTTTTCCCCCCCCTTTTTTTTTCCCCTTTCCCCTTTCCGGGTTTTTTTCTTTTCCCCCCCTTTTTCTCTTTCCCTTCTGTACGTGGGATCAGGCTGCGCGGACACATTCGGGACAAATGTCCTTAATCGATTTCTTGGGCATTAGCCGAGCCAATATTTTGACGCAAAAAGTGCCATTGTCCGATTTTGGCGTTAGCCGATGCCGCCATTACTCAATGGTCCACTGTACGTCTCCTTCGACGTTTGTAATCATTTCAGATTCCCTCAGTGCTTTACAAACCGTTAAACAGTTTGATTCCCCTCATCCATTGGTTCTTCATGTTCACCTATGGTTATGCTGTGTGGCTAGCAAAAACAAAGACGTCGTTTTCTGTTGGGTCCCTGGACACGTTGATGTGCAGGGCAATGGACAGGTAGATGCTGCTGCGCCATCAGCAGCACACAATCTTCCGGTTTCCTATAGAGGTATTCCATTCAGGGATTATTTTAGTCATCTCTGCCTGTCTTTGTGGCCGTTGGCAGCAGGGATGGTCAGACATGCACCATAACAAATTGCACTTTATTGAACTGCTTTTAGGTGTGGCCATCTCCTTACCACCATTGCCATACTCAGGAGACTGTGCTCTCCCATCTCTGCATCGGCCATACCCGCCTTGCCCATGGGTATCTCGTGGGACGACACCCTATTCCTCTCTGAGGTTTGTTGGGTCCCTGTTTCAGTGGATTGCCCAGTTTAAAAGTGAGCTCGCAGGATTTACCTACAATGCTGCTGTCACCCTACTGCTCTAACCTTATCTTTCTTCCTTGCAGATGGTCCTGCCTTTGACTTTCAATCACATTTTGACTTTTTGTCAGCAATTGCTTTACTGTATGAACTTTAACACAGCCCTTAGCATACCCTACAGCCCTTTTCTCCCCTCACCTCTGATCCCCTCTCCACCTAGCTGTTTATAGCCCCGGCTCTATTTTCTGCCCCGCAGCTCTGCATGACCCTTATCGGTTTAGAGCTTTCTTTGATTATAATAATCATAATTCAGATGGTTATGATTTCATTGTTTCTTGGTATTTGGTAGAATGGAAGACATGTTACTATTTTATTATTAAACCACAGACAGGCAGTTTAGTTTTTCCAATCATGCACTGCATGGGGGCAGGAAATTTTTTTTTATATACTGTGCACACTCACTGCATAGATTCATTCTCTCATATCTAGGCAGATATCTAGCAGTCACAGCTTATCTGAGTGAGCTGAGCTCATGACATAGAATTATGTCAGGGACCCAAACCTCAGTGACATAGTTCTACGTGATGCGTAGCGAAAGGGTTAAATGTTTAAATATTCTCTGTTTTCATTCAGTTTTATGCACTGTAATGTATATAATGTAGCATTATGGGGTGAATATTATTCTCCTTGAGGTCACCCTGCCATGGACATTTTTTTACCAACAAAAAAATCACCCCCCATTTTTTTTTTTTTTTTTTATCTCAGGCTTCAATGTTGAAACTGTGGAGTACAAGAATATTAGCTTCACAGTGTGGGATGTGGGTGGTCAAGACAAAATTCGTCCGTTGTGGCGACACTACTTTCAGAACACCCAGGGTCTCATATTTGTTGTCGACAGCAATGACAAAGAGCGAATCAATGAGGCTTCAGATGAATTGGCGAAGATGGTAAGCATATTAATTATTAATACTTTCACAATATATTCAAGCAGTTTTCACTTGTTTCATGCACTTTCACTGTACTTAGTGAAATACTGGAACTTAGAATATTCATTTACATATACTATATAGACTGCAGTGATAAGCTTGTTTTTGTTTAACTGATTTTGTATACACAGTACACTGTATACAAAATCAGGTACCCAGATATTTTAAGTATTTATGTACCAATCATAATAATAAAAAAACTTCTCATATGCATGACAAATCATTTATATACAGTAGGGCCCCACTTTTATGGCAGGTTAGGTTCCAGGCTACCACTGTAAAGTGAAACACTCTTTCTTTCCACTTACAAATGCATAGAAATACTAGATATTTTACACTAACCTATGTTAAGTTAGCAATAGAAATAGATATTAAAAAATAAAAAAGTAAAATACAGTGGAACCTCAAAAATCGAACGTATCACATGTCGAACGTTTCAAAAATAGGACCATTTTTTCAGACAAACTGTGTCCCTATTATCGAACGCGCCCCTATTTTCGGACCGCCGGGTACGGGACCTGTCTGCCGGCCCACTCTGTCCGCGTCCCCGCGCAGGCGCCGTGAGCAGTCTAGCTTTGCTTATGCTTGAGTGAACACTAACCTGCGCTCTCATTTACGCATTTTACGATTATTTCGTTGTGTTTAGTGCTTGTGGGACTGTGAAATAAGCTGCCATGGGCCCAAAGAAACTTGCTAGTGGTACCCCTGTGGTAAAGAAAGTAAGAAACACCATAGATGTGAAGAAGGAAATAATACATAAGTATGAGAGTGGTGTGAGACTTGTTGAGGTTGCCAGGATGTATGGGAAAAACAAGTTGACCATTGGTTCTATCCTGTCAAAGAAAGAACAAATCAAGGAAGCTGATGTTGCGACAGGTGTTAATATGCTAACCAAAAAAAGACCACAAATAGTTGAAGAGGTTGAGAAGTTGTTGCTGGTGTGGATCAAGGATAAAGAGATTGCAGACAATAGTGTTTCAGAGACGATTATTTGCGAAAAGGCAAGGAAGTTGCATGCCGATCTGGTACAAAAAACTCCTGGAACCAGTGCTGATAGTGAATTTAAGGCCAGCAGAGGCTGGTTTGACAGATTTAAGAGGCGTAGTGGCATACACAATGTTGTAAGACTTGGTGAGGCAGCCAGTTCAGACAAACGGGCGGCTGAGAAGTTTGTACAGGAGTTTAAGGGGTACATAGATAGTGAAGAATTGAAACCTGAACAAGTGTTTAATTGTGATGAAACAGGCTTGTTTTGGAAGAAAATGCCAAAAAGGACCTTCATCACACAGGAGGAAAAGGCACTGCTAGGACACAAGCCTATGAATGACAGGCTAACTCTTTTGTTCTGTGCTAATGCTAGTGGTGATTTTAAAGTGAAGCCTTTACTTGTGTATTATTCAGAAAATACCACAGTGTTTAAGAAAAACAATGTCTTTAAGAACAAGTTATGTGTCTTGTGGAAAGCTAATCATAAGGCATGGGTCACAAGACAAATTTTCAAAGAGTGGGTCCATGAAGTGTTTGGCCCCAGTGTGAAAAAATACCTCCAGGAAAAGAAATTGCCACTCAAGTGCCTCCTGTTAATGGACAATGCTCCTGCTCATCCTCCAAACTTATTAGACCTCTTGTCTAAGGACTTCAGTTTTATAAAAGTGAAGTTCTTGCCTCCTAACACCACTCCTCTCCTCCAGCCCATGGACCAGCAGGTCATTTCTAACTTCAAAAAACTCTACACAAAAGCAGTGTTTGAAAAGTGCTTTGAAGTGACCACAGACACTAAGTTGACCCTAAGAGAGTTCTGGAGGACTTCAGCATCTACAGCTCCATAAGCCTTATAAGTAAGGCTTGGGAGGGAGTGACTTCCAGGATTTTGAGCTCTGCTTGGAGACAATTGTGGCCAGATTGTGTCCAAAAGAGGGATTTTGAAGGGTTTGAGGCTGACCCTGACCCAGCTCGCCCTCTGCCTGTTGTGGACTCTATTGTGGCATTGGGGAACACCCTGGGGTTGGAGGTGAGTGGTAAGGATGTGGAAGAGTTGGTGGAGGACCACAGGGAAGAGCTAACCACTGAAGAGCTGCAAGAGCTTCATCTGAAGCAGTATCAGACCACAGCTGAGGAACTTGCTTCAGAGGAGGAGGAAGAGGGAGTGGATGAGGTGGCTTCTTCAAAGTTTAAGGAGATTTGTGCCAAGTGGAATGATGTCAAAATGTTTGTGCAGAAGTACCACCCTGAGCAAGCTGAAACAAGCCATCTTTGCAACAAGGTCAGTGACAGAACCATGTCCCATTTTAGGGAAATGTTAAAAAGGCACCAGAAACAGAGGACTGTGGACAGTTATTTTGAGAGACAGGGGTCCAGCGACTCTCAAGCTGGTCCTAGTGGCATTAAAAGACAGAGAAGGGAAGTAACCCCAGAGAGGGCTTTACCTGAAGTCCTCATGGAGGAGGATTCTCCTTCCAAACACTAACCCCAACTCCCTCTCTCCTCCTCCTATCTTCCCGATGCATCACCAATCTTCAATAAAGGTAAGTAAAAATGTTATTTTATATATATTACTATACATATTAAAACTTAGTGTTGTTGTATGTTTAACTGTAGGTTGATTCCCCATAAAAATGTTTTTTTTTGTTGTTAGAATATTTTTGGGTTTTCTGGAATGGGTATTGAACTGTAAGAGGTGGTACGCCCGCGAGGCGGGCCCCCGAAACCGAAAACCAATTATTAACTTGTATTTATGTAAAGTAATTTCTCAAAATGTATTTTTTGTGTTTTTGGGTCTGAAAATTTGGGACCCCCAAGATCGCTTCAATGCGACAATTCCTTAATGGTATAGTAAATTTCCCGGTCAGTTTGGGGCACTGAAAACATACTTCCTTTTCTATGGAAAAAATTCGGGGTTAAGGCCCTGAACTCCACTGTATTTCCCCATTATTTCTTATGGGAAATATTGCTTCGAATTTCAGACTTGTCGAATTTAGAACTAGCTCCTGGAATGGATTAAATTCGATTTTTGAGGTTCCACTGTACACATATAGTACACTCATTACTTACCTTAAATTATTTGTAGTCTTAATCTAGGGTGAGATGAGTAGTATTTATTGTAAGAAATCAAATGTGGTAGGTATGGTAGCCAGCCAGGCTACAATACCAGGCCAACCCACCCACACACATTCTATGACATTTAAGCGTCCCAGAGCGATAAAATGCATATACAGTTCACTCATTGCTTGCCTTAAAATATTTGTAATCTTAATGTAGGGTCAGAGGTGAGTAAACGAGATAAAACAAATAAATGAGAGAGAATGAGTACATGAGAGAGGACAGGCGCAGAATTATGCAAACAAACTAGGCGGACGCGAATTTTGTAAACAAACCAGGCGAACACGTCTGGTTTGTGTACAAGTTGTCTCCACGTTGATATGGTAGAATAAATAAAGAGGAACCTTCCCATTCTTGTGTAACGCTATTTTTAAAAGAAATGACGCTCTGCATGAAGGCATACAGCAGGAATAATTTTCTACAATTACCCCCAGTAACAGATTTTCTCTTATGTTGGACTAGAGAAAATGTTATTCTTGCCATCACTCGTACAAGTCGTCTGTCTACCACATCTCATATTTGTTTATTTATTCTACTGTGGGATGTATTTATCATCTTTATATGTTATGTATCATGTTTATTATATAATTTTGAAAAAATATCATAGATGGATTAATGAAAATGTGTATACGTATTAACGTAATATACGACATCAATGAGACTCGGTGATTATTATTGAGTATTATTATCATTACTAATATGGCGTCTCGAGACACAAGACACTCTTAGTGATTTTAATGTGTACCTGCATGCCAGCACAGTGTGTAAGTTTATTTAGAGACAGGTATACGTAAGTATAATTATCGGAGTATATACAAAATATGAAATAACTTTTAAAAACACTTGAAATTTTGGAGTTTCCAGACATAATGGAGAGACTTGGTGCTTACAGAGCTCACGGAGAATGTAAACAAACTGGGTGGGATGCTGTGACCTTGTTATAAAGTCAGGTGGGGGGGGAGCCATATAGCGAGTTTTGGTCATAATTTGAAATGTCTGTATTAGCGGAACGCTGTAAAGCAGGGCCCTACTGTGTTCTAAAATTAGTACAGTAGGGCCCCACTTATATGACAGGTTAGGTTTCAGGCTACCACTGGAAAGCAGAATGCCATTTTTTCCACTTATAAATGCATATAAATGCCATTGAAGTTTACACTAACATATATTAAGTTAGCAGTAGAACTAGGCATTAAAAAACAATAAAAAGTAAAATACACACACAGTACACTCGTTACAGTGGACCCCCGAGTTTCATGATTAATCCGTTCCAGAGAGTCTGCTGAATGGCGAAATTCACAATTGGGGAAACCATTTTTCCCGTAAGAAATAATGGAAATCCAGTTAATTTGTTTGACACCCAAAATATTTTTTTAAAGATTAAATATAGATTTACATACAGAAAACAATGACAAATGAATATAAAGCACTAAAATGGATAAATGAACATTTAACATCACACTTACCTTTATTGAAGATTTGTTGGTGTTAGGCAGACAGGTAGGAGGGGAGAGAGAGAGAGAGAGAGAGAGACGAGTTATTATACTTCATTATGATGCTCATATCATCTCTACGACTTATTTATGAACCACAATTCATCTAATATGATATAATAAACAATATTAATAACACAGAAGCATGATATATACTCTAGAATGAATAAAATGTCATATGTGAGGAGTAAGTGGTGTTGGTGGTGTTGGGTTTACAAGGGCAACTGAGAGAAGCCATACATAATAGTAGTGGTGGAGGCAGCACCAGAAGCAACCAACACTATTCACACTGAAACAATGTATGTACGTAATTTATAAATAAGAAATATTTACACTTGCCTTGGAGGAGATGTTAGTTTAATTAGGTTGATA